AGTTTTTACTTACTAGTCTAGCACATAAAGGTTTCCCTTCTACCTTTATTCAATGGATTAAAGCTTGTATTTCAAATGTTTGGTTTTTTGTTGGTATAGATGGTTCACTATAAGGTTTCTTCTCCTCCTCTGCTAGTCTTAGGCAAGGCTATCCATTGAACCCTTACCTATTTTGCATAGGAATGCCTTTTCCTACCTCATTGACAATTCTACAAATGATGATAACTTTGTAGCTTTAGATTTGGACTTATTGGATTCGGGGGGGGGGTCTATCATACCTCAAACCACTATCAAATTTATTAACAAGTTTAGTGCTAATTTTTTTAGGTGATAGTGTGGTTAGAAAGTTGCACCTTATTTCATGGGCTAATACATGCAAACCAAGGTCTCAAGGTGGTCTTGGCTTTCCCTCATTACAAGCTCTTCAATTTAGTTTTAACTGCTCCCTTATTAACATAATTTATAACAACCAACGCCCCTCTCCAAATGGATCTTCTTCAAATATTCTTCTCCCTAGAGTCCTCCTCCCTATGCAACCACCCCTTGTTAGCAAAATGTTTATATTTCTGCAACCACTGCTATAGAAAAATTCCATTTCATGATTACCCCCAACTACCCTATCTCCTTTTGTTGGGATCACTGGTGCAATGAAGCTACCATATCTTAATTACCATTCTTTCATTCTCTTCTTAATATTTTCCCCTCCAATACTCATGTTGATGTATTACTTGATGATTAAGGATGGTCCCTTCTTGTTTCTATCCCCACCCTTATTGTTGATGTTATTTCTCAAATTTTGATTGGGGGTCCAACATGTGTTTTTCTAAATTTGAAGAAATATGAGGAAAGGAATTTTAAGAGGTTTATTGCCAATTTTTATAAAAATGTGTTGTCTTGCTTTTGGCATAGATTTGTTTGGCATAAACACTATGCCTTTCATTTTTCTTCTTATAGTTGGATGGCTCTAGTAGGTGTGTTAAAAACAATTTATGTTCTCCTTAAAAGAAGTATTATGGTGGATCCTATGTGTGCCTTTATCAATCTTCTATAAAAAAAACTCATCTCATCTTTTCTTTGAATGCAATTTCTCTTTTTCTGTAATTGTTGAGCAATTCCTAGGATTAAAGACTAACTATTCAGACCAAGCGTGTTATAAATTTTTGAGATAATTGATGCTATGATGCCCTCTGTTACTACTGCAAAGAATCCTTGCATACTTGTTGCACTTTTTATTGTGTCTGGAGAGAAAGGAATGATAGGAAATTTGATAACTCCTATGCTTCTTCACTATCCTTCAACTTCAAAAGGTTGTTTTTCTCAAAGTTTCTAAGTGGAAGAATAGAGAGACTCTTATGGCTAGTTATGCTGGAGGGTGAAAATTCTCATTGTTTTCTTGGTGAAAATTAAATGATGTTTTTTGGAATTATTATTTTGGTGGTATTGGTTAGAAGTTTCTCTGTGCCTCTTTTGTAGGATACTATCAAGATGTCTTCCCATCTTTCTTAAATCTGGCCTGGAGGGGATTTGCAAGCCCCTAATGATGATGATCTATGTATTTTTCTAGGTCAATCTCCTTGAAAGATATACAGGTAGCCAAGGGAGTGTGTGGCAGGCCTTATATGAACTAATTCTATTATTTTTCTGACTATTATCTGAGGCCAAAATTTTTCTGTGAACTATTACCTGATACATATTTTTTTTGGTAATGCATCCTTTGATAGATTAGTTTTGTTTATGGTCTATTCTATCCACATATATGAGTGATTTTTGGCTCATGTTGAGGTAGCTCCAATTTTTATCAGAGTTTAATAGCTCCCTTTACTTTATTTCTTTTTACTTGTAAGCTTCATAGATTAATGCAAGGGCCTCGCCCAAATTTTTCACAAAAAAAAGTTATACAAACACATTAAAAATCGTACGAATCTTCTTAAAAGTGTGTTAATAAACTTAAAGCACCCCCTTATTCATATTTCAATAAGCATGCAAATGTCAAAATTAAAATCTTGGCAAGTTGAAAGTGTTGTGTGCACTCTTCAAGAAACTTTAAACTCAAACTGCGTTGCTCCAAAAAGCATATTGTTTTTGGTTAAATACGAGCAATCATTTCAATATCTTGTCAATTCTCTTCCAAGTGCAAACTCATAATATCTCATGTATGTGGTTGAACGGGCAACTCTGCTTATTGGGCATAGTCGTAAGTCCTAGTCTTCCATCTCGATCCCTGACAAAATAAAGGTGGAGTCGACTAAGCTAATAATTTATTAATATATCAAATTAAAAAAATAATAATAATTGACCACCTTGTTTATAAGAGAAGGTCGTAATTCCAATCTTAATAGTGAAGTTTATAAGATCTACCCAATAAATCTTTTAGTTTGAACCTCCCTCCAAATTTCAAATATTAGAATATATATAATATTACAATATTACATAGAACTCCACCCTATATCAGCTTCTTCTTTCATCCTCCTCTATCAAAATTTTCTTCAGCTTTCTCTATGCCAAATTATTTAAGAGAATTTATGAAATGGCCGTTGAAAAAAAATTGTGATAGCTATTTTATCAAAGGAAGATCATTCTTTGTAAAATTGTCGAAAATAAATTATTGCAGATTTTTCTTTTTTGTGATAAAAATTGTACAAATTCAAGAAATTCTAAGAATTAAAAAGTCTTGAAATATCTTGGCTCATAAAGCTTAAGAACTTCTAACCATCCATCGTCAATGCTAATTTATCTCATGATAACATGATTATGGTACAATTATGGCAAAAGCTGAATATTTCCTAATAACCAAACTTATAAGTTGTGCAAAAAGCATTCGTGAATAGGCGCCTGTGCGCTCGTCGAGTTCATTTTTAGTGGCATGAGTCAAGCTCGAGCTCGCCTTTTGGGCTTGACTCGAGTTCGAGCTCGAGATTTGGCTCACAATTCGAGCTCAAATTTGGCCTGACTCGAGCTCGACTAGACACTTTTGTACCCATAGAATATGCATTTTTAACATTTATTTGTTTCATCATAAGAATAAAACTTTTTTATGACATCTATTTATCTGTCTTATAATTCCTTATAATGAGATGATCAAATTCTCCAATAAGACCGACCGACAAAAATTACTTCATGACCTCCAAAACCTATGTTTTATTTAATATCCTCTCCTTTTTCTTCTCAAATTTGTTTATGTTTCTCTGGCTTTGTGAAAAACGAATGGGAAAAAGGAAATAATTGGCATTTGATTAATTCTATCAATGGATTAGGATATTTAGATTAAAATAATAATAATATATAAATGTAATTATGTAAATATTTAATTTTAGTAAAAAATTGATATAAATTTTTATATATCTTCAAATTCGGATTTCTAAAATTATAGAAAAATATCTATAAAACAACTTAGCATGTTTAAAATTTTTTGGTGAAATTGATTTGTAAAACAGATACCTAACAATTCTAAAAACCCCACGTATACCGGCATGTATTAATTTCTTAAGGAATTGCACCAATGCCAAAAAATTAAGAAAAATATTATAACTAGAGCACAATAATATCTATGTTATGGAAAAGACATTTTATAATTTGGAATTATAATTAGTATTGAAACAATTTATTTGGTTAGGTCAAAATATGAGTTATTACAACACATTTGTTAAGATTTCTTCTAATATAGGAAGTAGATCTGGTTTTATGGTAGGGAGATCGTTCGACAGTAGTCAGAGAGAGGCTGGTAGTTATGTTACTCAAGCTCCATTTTAGGCACATGCATATAGTCTGACTCAACAAGAGACTAAAAATGCTCTCAATGTGATTATAGATACATATTATATTTTTATCAGTTATATCGAGTTTTATTTGATTTTGAAACTAGTCATTCATTTATTTCCATGTATTTTTTTATTTACTGGGCTTGCCTTCAATTTTATTGACTTTTTTTTTCTGTTTGTTATTTTACCAACTAGAGATGACATGATAGTCAATAAAGATCTAATTCTGTGACATTGAGATTTTTTATAGGAAATGAATGTTTTGTTTTGATTTTATTACACATTTTTATATTTGATGTTATTTTGAATATGAATTGACTGAATCAATATAAGGCTCGGATTGATTGGTTGAAAAAGCGAGTTATTAAAATTTTGAGGAATCAGAATTGTGTATTCCAGAGAGTTGGAGGTATTTTGTTCTGTTTTATAATCTCTTATGTGAAAGTGATAGATTGTAAAAGATTGATTGTTTGATATTTCTAGCATCAATTCAAGATAGGAGTATATGTTCTGGTAATCTTTAAAATACTCTCGTAGTGCGAGAATTTTCAGATATATTTCTTAAGTTAATTAGTCTCTGGACAAAGACGTCAAGTTATGTATTGATGTGTTTTTTGTACGACCATTATTTTTAAAGCTCCATATAGGATGGCACCTAAAGAGTTTTAGGAGTTGAAGATTCAAGTTTAAGAGTCAGTTGATCAAGGGTTTGTCCATCCTAGTGTGCCTCTATGGGGAGCATTTCTTCTATTTCTGAAGAAAAAGAACGATAAGATGTGTATATGCATTAACTACATGGAGTTGAACAAATTATTATAAAGAATAAGTACCCTCTAACACGGATTGATAATCTATTTAATCAACGTGTTGGATCATCTATTTTTTTTTAGATTGATTTGCGATATGTATATTATTAGGTAAAGGTGAGAGAGTCCGATGTGATAATGCACCAATGATTTTTATGGAATTGATAAACAAAATGTTAAGTGATTTTTTAGATCAGTTTATTATTATTTTCTTATATAATATTTTGGTTTATTCTGCTTCCAAGGAAAATGATATCAGACATATGAGAATTATTTTGGAGACTTTGAAGCAGCACCAACTATATACAAAATTCTCTAAATATGAGTTTTGGGTGAAGGGTATTATTTTTATAGGGCACGTGGTGAGTGATGAGTGGTGATGATATTTATGTAGAACCTCAGGAAGTTCAACCAATTACTGAGGTTTTGGTGACAGTGGTGGTGACGTCGGAGGTGGCAAGGTAGGAGGCAGTGAGGTGTGCGGCGGTGATTTCGGAGGTGGCAAGGTGGGCCGCGGTGACCTCAGAGGTGGCAAGATTGAAGGTGGTGAGGTTAGTGGCAGCGATGTCGGTGGTGGAAAGGTTGGCGGAGGCAAGGTGGATGGTTGTGATTTCGGCGGCAGTGATGTGGGTGGCGTTGACTTCGTAGGTAGCAATGTGGGCGGAGGCCACTTCAGAGGCTACGAGGTTTGAGGTGGAAAGGTTGGTGGCGGTGACTTGGGAGGTGGCGATGTTGGCGGCGGTGACTTCGGAGGCGGCGAGGTTTGAG